TTAAGACAGATTCAAGCCTAACATCAAATCAGATAAAAGCGAATACAGATGCTGAATGCAGCTCTAAAACAATTCGACGGCATTTAAATAAAGGGTTTAAGAACTTGAAACAGCTGCAGAGGCCTCGCCTTCTTCACCATAAAACCTTCTGTTTACAATTTGATTCTGATTATCAAACTTGGGATGTAGATAAATGGAAGAAATTGTTGTTTTCAGATGAGAAAAAATTCAATCTTGATGGCCTAGACGGTTTTCAGCGTTACTGGCATGCAAAAGATGTCCAAAAAGAAATTTTCTCAATACGACACAGTGAGGGTAGATCAATTATGGTCTGGGGTTCATTTTTGTACAATGGAACTCTTGAATTACAGGAGGTAAAAGGTCGTCAAACAGCTGCTAGTTACATTGATGTGTTAAGAAAGGCATCGCTAATTGCTGAAGGCCCTCGTCTACGTGGAGAAAATTGAATTTTCCAGCAGGACAATGCTGAAATCCACAACGCTCTCTAGATCGAAACCCAATCGAGAATATTTGGAAATGGATGGCAAAGGATGTTTATAAACATGGATCACAATTTGAAACTGTGGATGCTCATCGTGTTGCAGTTTATGCATCCTGGGCAAACATCCCAAGCACCCTCATGCAGAAGGTAATAATGAGTATGCCAAAGCCAATTTTCGAAGTAATTCGCAAAAATGGAGGATATACTGAATATTAAATTGTCATTGTGACTTATTTGTTCTGTATTTTCTATTTTTATTTACATGGTCTTATCTTTATGACCAACCAAAAAAAATCCTTTTTTCAATGTTAAATTAACCAATATTCACTTGTTTGTTTAAATTAATCAATTTTCACTTGTTTGCTGATAAACTACATTTTCTAATTAAATGTAAATGTTTCGCAATTATATTTTGATTAAAGTAACAGTATTTTATTTTATTTTTAACCCTATTGTATCTGGTTTATATTTTGAAAAGGGGTGTACATATAATCATTTCACCCCAAGCAAGGCGATAACGCTTGGAGTGAAAGAGAATGAGAAGACTTTAGAAGGAACTGGACCCCCAATCCTAAACAGGAAACAATGAATAAACCCCTACTCCTCTTCAAAAGAGCGTGGTGGAGAATCAACCGGACGATACGCTTATATTTAAAACAATATATTTATATATAATAATAACAAAAATTGTTTACGAAAAACAAAATGAATAAAAAAAAAAGAAAGAAAAAAATGGCATCCAGTGTATTATTGGGAAGATAACGTTTTTAATGCAAACAGTCTATACTATTAATGTGTTTCGAGAGCACTTTAAGAGTATTAATAGAAACAACTAAATTTAAATGTTAAATTTATCTTTCCCTGCTCGGAGTTTACCAGATATCGTCAGCGAGGTTGTTATTAAAATACAATTGAAATTTACTTACAAAAGCCCTTATAAGTGGATACCATATCTACGAAACTTCTAGAGAAAGATAAATTGAACATGCAATTTTACTTGTAATTACATATATATATATATATATGAAGAAATTTTGAAAAAACAAACAAAAATCCTTAAATGTAGTTAAAATGAAAAAATGTTAACGTTACGTTTGGTTTAATAAACCTTTTCAAGACAATATTCATGAAAAATCAATTCAGTTCAATTTGACAAATATTGAACTAAAAACACAAGTCTTATTCAGAACAGATAATTGAAAATTTTAAAATTATCTATTAAACCGAAACGTCAGACGTCGACATTTTCTTTCATTTTTAACTACATTTAAGGATTTTTGTTTGTTTTTTCAAAATTTCTTCATTCTGTCGGATTTATATCCATTTATATATATATATATATATATATATATATATATATATATATATATATAGAGAGAGAGAGAGAGAGAGAGAGATATGAGGATAGAGGAGGCACGGTTGAGTAGTGGGTAGCGGCTTGGATTGAGGAATCGTAGAGCCATTAGAATCCATTACATTCACTTACCCTTGGGAAAGGTATGAATGCTCTTCTTCACCCAGCTACGGGTAAATAGCAGGACAGAGTTGGCTCTACAACCTTGGATGGCAACTGGTCTAGGAGAAGGAAAACTCTGAATTCAAATCCTGCGGAAGGTTGTTTGTGGACCTTCACCACTATAATCAATTCATATGTGCTGGTATCTGGCTGTCGGTTCCTAGGAACTGAGTTGCTTGACCCTCATACGTTGAATACGAGGGGAGAGTTCACCATATATATATTGATTGGTTTGTTTGTTTGCTTGTTATTTTTTTTAACCTTTTCCCGGTTATTTAAAGCCAGATTTAGATTGCAAGGATTTTTTTAGAGATAATAATAATTTATTGATACATATCTCTAGCTGGGGGAAGAAGAAGAGGATTCGTATCTTTCCCAACGGTATTTGTAAGTCAACAAAACGAACCCAACTGGAATTGGAACTCGCCTCTCCGATTAACAATTCCGAGCCGTTGTCCATTACAAAAACCGCACCTCCAAACTTACAGTCCGTATTATTCCCAAGCGGTCACCCATCTAGGTACTAATCAGGCTCAACGTTGCTTAACTTCAGTGATCGTGAAAATGTACGTAAACCATATATATGTGTGTGTGTGTGTGCGCGCGCACGCGCGTGCGTGAAGAGAAGGAGAGAGTGGAACAGTGAAAAGGCGAAAAGAGAGGAGGAGGAGGAGGAGGAGAAGGAGGAATAAGTGAGAGATGGCGTTCCTTGCCTCCGCCTTAATCACCCAAATCTAGGGATAATATTTCTGTCTGTCTATCTCCCATTAAGCTTGAAAAACGTCTGGTTATAATTTTTTCGGAGGCTTGTAAACACGTGCCTGGAAGATGAGAGATGAGTGTATTGAAAACTGTGCTTTATTAAAAAGCCGTTGGGACGCCCACTTATTGAGTTAGAAATAGAAATGAACAAGGTCGTGAAAGGGGATAGGAAAGCACTTGCTCGCTCAGGTTGATATCTATTTACTATAAAGGAAATAAAACATCTTACAGGTTTTTTTTTCTTTCTTTCTCACAGAAGGTGTGTCATACAAAGAAAGAAAATAAGCAAGGCGTACACATACCAATTTATAAGTTTATCTACATTTTACGTGAGAAAGCATGCTTGATTTGTTTGTTTTTTTTTTACATTTTAGCAAACATTTTTAAATCATTTCACCTTAATAAAAATAAGAAAGCAAGGGGTTACTGAGTATTAGAAAATATGGAAAAATATTATTAAGTAGAGAGAACAATAAAACGATATGAATTAAGACAGAAGTTGACTGGGAAACAAGAATCCGGAAGAGACTTCCACAAGCGAGAAGTGCGATGAGAGAAACTATTATCATAGAACTTACGGTTACCATATAACCATATAATCTGTAAAATGATGAGACCTCACTGCCAATCTAGTACTGCGCTTAAATTCATAAAGTCTAGGTTTCATAGTGGAAAGTCCATCAGAACAATTACCATGAAAGTATTTATAGAAAAGGCACAGGGAAGCTATTTTAGGGCGGCGAGAAAGGGACTGAAGCCGAGACGCCTGGTCAGAATGAATAACATTGCAAATTCTTCTTTGCATTTCATCAAGAATCTCTAAATATATATCAGGAGCACCAGACCATATGTGGCACCAATATTCAAAGCAAGGACGAGATTCTGACAAGAAAAATTGTCTCGTACGAGATGGTGAATCAAATTTCCTCGCAGTAGAAAAAACAAACATATTTTGGGATTCTAAGAATAATTCGTTTTTGCGAGTGAATACTGTATTAATAATATTTTTTTTTTTTAGGTGATAACGATTTTTAGATATATGTCCTACTATTTAACCCATAGCTTGGATGAGAAGAGGAGCAGTTATACCCCTCCCCAAATGTATTTGCACGTAAGTGAATGTAAGGAACCAAACTGGAATGCGAACACCGGCTTTGATTTCTCATTCCGAGCCATTATCTATTACACTAGCTTCAATTCCAAGCTTATATAACCTGATACTCCTAAGTATTCGCCCATCTAGGCACTGACCAGGCTCAACATTGCTTATCTTCGGTGATCGAAAGAGAAAAGTGTAAACGTCTTATATTCTATTTGCAAAATAGATAGGTTCACCTATCGCCCGGTTCACACTCCTCCCCAGTCTATCCCTTGTTTCCTGTTTAGGATTGGTTTTCCGGGTCCTACTTCAACTCTGTACTTCTAACGTCTCCGTATAAACTGTGAAATTTGATTTATTATGTCTCCCTTTCCCAATAGGAGGAGATAGGGTTCTCTATCGTCCGGATCACACTCCTCCTCGAATTTTTGAGCAGGGTAGAGGTTTAACCGGTGTTTCAACGTGATATGGCCACAAACCATGTGTGAAAGAAAGAATGTATATATAATTCCTAGAAATACGGATATGTTAAAATATGTACAATCCACATATAAAGCCAAGTTTATAAAAAAACAACAAAGAAGTGGAAAGAGCAAGGACTATGAAATAAAGTCACCATAACTGTGTGAAGCGAAAGGAGAGAGAAAGACAAAAAGGGAGTAACCGGTTTCGATCCTCACTCTTCAGAGCCTCTTGAGGACAAGCGTATATAAATGTGCAATGTTTTAGAACACAGCAGAGGACAAACACGAGTGAATTACAGTCATATACATATATAGAGACTAAGGGTGCGCCTCGGCGTGGTGTAACGGTTAGCAAGCTTGTCTCGCTAAAACAATTACAACTGAGTAGTGAGTTCGATCACTGAGTGCCCCATACTTTCGGCCTTGTGCCACATCTAAGCTACGCTTGGAAAGATATAGAAACTAAGATCAAACATGCTTATATTGATCATGTCAAAACGAATGTTCGAAGTTATTCACAATGATGGCCGTAAAACTCACTATTGAGATGTCTTGCTGGGCATTTTCTACTCTGTTTAAAACTTCTTTTATGCATAGTCTTAAACATTTGACCAGCTCGTATTTAGCCTAATTTACCATTATTCAAATTTTCGCTATCAAATGCTAAAAACTTTTCAATTTTTCCTTTTCTTATTTTTATTTTTTCGAAGCTCTACTCAAATAAATGGTTGAGTCTAACAATGCAAAAGGCATATTTTTTCTTTATTTCCATCGACTTTAAGGTTTGGGCCAGTAGGGTATATATCTTCGTTTCAGTTACAAATCATTTTTGTTTTTGTTTATCCACTTTATTCTTAGAAAATAAAGTAAAATTACAATTTATTCGATTATATATTGGCCATTGTTTGTAATGATTTGTGGCTAATCCATCAGCTCTTCAACATCTTCTTTAGTAAAATTCCGCAGATTATGATGATGTGAAAATGTTTTCGACGAACTCTTGAATCTGATTTTAATTAAAAAAATAGTTTTCCCTGTCGATCCCTTGTTCCTGCAAAAATCTTTGTTCCACTCCAAAAAACATTGTAAATGCAAAAAAAGAATTCTTACAATCCAAAATATGTTACAGTTTTAAGTGACCAATAAAGGGTTGATGATGAATAAGAAAAAATAAAAATGAATCAATCAATTCCATTCAAGTCATTTTGCAGCGTTCGAAAAAAATAATAATCGGTTGATGCAAGGTCAGAAGAATTGGAATTTCGAACCGATCCATCTGGAAATAGAACAATCTATCTCCGTGGACGAAATAAAGGGTTAGGTTGAAAATTTCAACGTATATCACCTGAAGAATGCCGGACCGTACAATGTCCGAAATATCGGGAATATGACAGTAAAGACGAGGACAACAGGCCAAACAATATAAATGGTAGCATTTGTATATAAATATATTTATATCGAAACTATTCATATTTTTATGCCTACGTCATTTAACTTATTTAAAAGTTTACCAGAGATTTTTTTTATATGGGAGGAGATAATCGTACCAAGTAGTAGGGTTACAATTTTGGATAATGTGTCGGTTAGTTTATGTGATATAATGCGTATTATCGGAATACCTAGTTTATATATATATTTGGTAATCCGTAATATAGTTTTTTTCCTTTCACCCGTTTTTGTCTTTTCGAGCTTTCCAACCTCCCATCTTTCCTGCTTCACACTCTCTATAAAATTATATTATGTGTGTTTCTTGGCCAGAAAGCGTAACTGACTGCAACATTCAATGAAATAATACAAATTGTTTATGTGGCGGAAAACTTAACGGTGTTGTATAGAAACTGTCTCGCCACTGAGTAATGATTTGTAATGTAGTTGAGTAAAGCATTATTATTTGAGTTTGAAGACCACTTTTCAACTATTGTGCTAGGCTAAGCCAATGGTAAACAATAACAACCGTGTGCCTACCGTAGATCAGGTTTTTCGTTATGCAGTGAGTTCGATCCCCAATTTGTCAGACTATCCGAGGCTTAGTATATAATTAGAAGTTCGGTATGGGGGTTTATTTGGCTAAACGTTTGTTTTATTTATTTGATCTGATTCATGGAGTCTGTCGCCACCATCGTAGTCGTTTTGTAGAGGACGAAATTCTTTTGAACTATGTTTTATTTTATATTTTTATTCACCGTGAAACTTTTCTTTTTATACATACCTTTTTTTCCGCATCCATTTCTGTCTTGCGATGACCGATGGCCTTTCAAAAAAGCAGACGTTAAGCTACATGAAACGTTTCGCACCACAAGCAATCAATGACGGTTAACTAACTCGTCTCTCCACGTGACCGTGTTTATATTATTTTTTTTTCGTTATTTTTTTCTCAATTTAGTGATATTAGCTTTGAGACGAAATCTGTTTTTAATTTCATTTTTAAACAATTTTTATGTATGTATTTTAAAATTTGATAATTTCAGTCCATGTTTTTGTTTAATATCAAAAACAGATATTATAACTATGTTGGCAACGGTAGATGATCTATGGAAGATGATCAAACAAAAACAGACGACAATTTCTGCGCTGATAAAATCCTCGTCAATTAGTATCTGTCTACAAATTTCTTAAATAAAGACCTGTCATTATTATTGTTATCCTTATTTTCTGATTTCTGGCGTTTACACATTTCTTTCCGGGTTAGAAATGGCATCATGACACTTTCCACTGAGAAAAAAAAATTACATAGATAAAGCCCTTCGTAATGTGTGGGCTGTACTTGTCATAACAATTTTTTTGTATCTCCTTGAGGCATGGACTTCCAGGAATCCCTTCACTTAGTCTACTACAATCTTTTCCAACCATTCCTAGGGCTCCAAATACAACAGGGATTGTTGATGTTCCCATATGCTACATTTTTTTTTTTTATTATTATTATTATTATTATTATTATTATTATTATTATTATTAACCAGTCTTTCTTTCATCTTATTTTTGTTCTTTTTCATCGTAAATCGCTAAAAAATGAATAATGATGCAAGATAAAAGAAAAACTACTTGTTAATCACAAAAGTGATAGTAATTATTAAATAATCTTTATTCATGCGAGATTTTAGTCCTTTCGTTATGCTATAATGTACGAACGGCTGTAATTTTATTGTTCTGATTACCTGAACACCATTTGTTTCATCTAACCGTATTTGAACCCGATTGATACGGCAACAAAAGGCTTCTGGTTACTTGAATTGTTTCACCTGTCTTTCATTATACGCTAGTTGCAAAAACTTGTAAAATAAATGTTTATTCTGTTCAAGTCAAATTATCGTAGGGCGAATCAAGGGTATGTGATTTCGAGTCTTTCTTCGAAAGTTCGATCATTTTCTTGCGAGTGTATAAAGGACTCTGTCCCTCTTCTCGTAGGTCGGTCATTTATATAATTTCCTGTCATCCGCTTGTATTGTATATCCTAAATCCAGTAGCGTCTATGTTCCCGCACCAAACGACATTCTTTGAAGCTAAATTATGCACTTGGTGATGAGTCACCTACGTCAACCCTCAGGACATTTAGCTATTTTGACATTCTGATGTGACACCGAATTAAAATTTTACTTTGGCATCTCTTAACCAAACTCAATACATAGTGAGGATACCACACATAAACTCCTCTTAGATCGAAGGTTTCTGATCGACATTAAATTCGATTCAGATCTCTGATATGAATCACCTACTGCATTTATAGAATTGAACCCTCAACCGGACGGAAGTGGCAGGAGGTATGACAATGAAAGTAGTCTTCATTCGATTATCTAACATTCTGATATATATCTTATCACCTTTCTCCATTAGAAAGGAATAACTGTATTATTTAAACTATAAGCTATATATTTTCTTTTGTTCTGACAGTAATACGGATCGGTTATCAATAATCCTGCCAAAGATAATCTGGTTCTGCTACTAATCTGGATATAAGTCTTGTTAATCTCCAGAAATTCCCTATGAAGAAGACGCCGTGTAAATTTTATCACTAATTCCCGATGGATTGAGTCATTTTACAAAATTAAGAAACTTATGACATTTGCTTACAGAGTTCCACATCGCGAAATAGGGTTAAAATGAAGGGAGGAAGAAATGAGTATTGTCTACCTTCTTTTAAGGCAATCGCCATCATAGCTTTTTTTTCTTTTCGAACACCGATTAATTGTTTCGGCTGCAGACACATAAAAATCTCAGTCTAGCTCCAGTGCTTTTTAAATTATTTTAACATTTTATAATTTAATATCTATGTGTTTAATTTATGTATTTGAATTTATTTTTGTTTAATCTTTATAATTTATTTTCTTAATTTATTGCTTAATTTTGTATTTTCTTTTAAAAGCATTCCTTATTTAAAGTGTATAATTATATATTTTTTTTTAAATATTTTTAGGTTGTAAGAACTTTTTTTTTTAGATAATAATGATTTTAATGACACAAGTTATACTAATTAAAAGAAGACTAATTGTGAGAAGAGATGAATATTTGCGCGTTAAGCGAATATAGCGAATCCAACTGGAACTCTGCCCTCCGGTTTACAATACCGAGCGGTTATCCATTACATCGCCCGGTCATCCAAACTTAAAGTACCTGATATTCCCAAGCGGTCACCCATCTAGGTACTGACCAGGCTCAACGTTGCTTAACTTCGGTGATCCTATGGGAACCGGCATTTCTACGTGCTATGATCGTAAGGCCGTTACGTTAAGAAGCACGGCCTAGCCTACTTCATTTAAATTTTTAGCATGTGTTTTGTTTTTGTTTTTGTTTGGTTTTTGTTTTCTTTTTTTGTTTTGTTTTGTTTTGTTTTTTTGTTTTTTTTTTATCGCTGTTGTTTAATCACTGGTTTTGTTCAGAAAGGTGAAATGCTATATAAACCTTGGCGTAATTATAAATTCTGGTGCTCCTGCGGGATTCTTGACAAAATGCCTGATCAGCCTGGACTGTAATATAATCGATCCCGACCAGGCATCTTGACTTCAGTCACTTTCACACCGACGTGACGTGGCTTTATTCTACAAATATTTTGCACGTCAACGGTTCTGACAAGCTTTATTTCCCTGGCGCCCCGACTACATGAATTTAAGCGTGCTACTAGATTTTCACTGTTGAAATAGTTAAATGCAACCGACACTTCTACTCGAACAGTTTCTTTTATCGCACTTCCCACTTGCGGAACTCGCTTCCGTTTATCTTCAAAAATTTAAATGCAAAGTCAATCGCCATCTTCTCTTTTCTTGAATCCCGTTCATCTTATGTCCTTTCTTGAATCCTCCTCCCTATTCTCAGTCTTCTCTTTCACTTTCGCTCCCTGTAACCCCTGATTATTAGTGGCGTTCCCACCCTGCTGTTTAAATGCTTAAAAAAATATATATATATATATAATCGACTCTCCCGTCGCGTTCGACGTATGAGGGTCAGGCCGATAAGTCCCCAGGAAACCGACATCCCGACACCGGCACATGAGATTTGATTATAGTGGTGAAGGCCTCGTGCAGGACCAGCCACACTTTTTGGAGAGACGAATACAGAAACCTGGTGCACCAAATGCATGCCACAAGGTTCCCAAACGACCCTCCGCAGGTTTTGAATTCAGAGTTGTCCTTCTCCTAGACCAGTTGCCATCCAAGGCTATAGAACCCAGTCTGTCCTGCTATTTTACCCATAGCTGGAGGGAGATGAAGAGGATACATACCTTTCTCAAGGGTATTAGCACGTAAGTGAATGTAATGGATTCGACTGGAATTCGAACTCGGCTCTGCGATTCCTATATATATATATATATATATAGGAGGCACGGTGGAGTCTTATTCTTATTATAACAGTTTATATATATATATATATATATATATATATATATATATATATATATATATATATATATATATATAAACTGTTGCTGCCCAATCTTCATTGCCTAGCCTCGAGTTCGAATAGCTTAGACGATCTTTTGGGTGCTGAATTATTCTCCATCCCCGCAACCCTTATCCCACAAACGAAACGTTGCTAACCTCTCACACTTAATATGGCAGATGTTCGGACGAGTTACATTTCTTAGTTCCACCAGCTCAGACCTTTTCAGTTAGGACCCGCCAGTCCATGTTCACGGTAGGCACCCCACTTCCCTTCGTATTCCATTGATAAGGAGCTTCTATCCCAGAATTCTTGCTTTGTGGAACAGAATCCCGAGAGGATGCTTTCCTGACAACTACAACGTTTATCTCTTATATCTTTATCCAGGTTCAACTAATATCTAACCTTTTATGCGTCCCTTTAAAATGAATTTCTTCTTCTCTATCCCTTTCTACAGTCTCGCTCAGTAACCCTCTACCTTGAGTAGCTCTTGGACCTTCTCTTCTATCAGTAATTAAAAAAAAATCTGTACTACCCGGCCCAGGGATTGAACTCACAATGGCTATGTCATCAAATTCACGACCCAATGCTTTAATCCTCTATGTTATTGTCCCGTCCGGTGCAGTGGATTAAATAACAAGGTAGACTAAGCTCTCTAGTATTAGGTGCCAGCCAGCCTAGGCGAAGTAATAACCTAAATTCAAAACCTTGCAGATGATAACGTGAAACTACTCCACTATTTTTCCTAAAAGACATGACACTTCACGTATAATAAAAGCCACTCGATGGAAACAAGGGGATCTATAACCGAAAAATACTAAACTAATTTGTAGTACTCATGTTTCAATGCTTCTGAAACTGAATTTATAGGCTTCAACCAGCACGGCTCAATATAAAGCTGAATCAATAAAATCTGTCGAATCTTTTACATACCTAAGAAGCGAAATAAATTCTGTTGAAAAGTATGTGAAAATTGACATAGCTAAAACCTGGACCACCTTGAATAAAATGCATATTATCTAGAAATCTGATCTACCAGACAACCTCAAACGGAGCTTCTTTTTCGCCATTGAAGAGTCGGTTTTAATGTATGGCGCCGCTTGGACATTAGCTAAAACCCTTGAGTCTAAGCTTGATTGAACCTACACTCGAATGCTGAGAGCTATACATGACATCTCTTGGAGACAACATCCAAAGAAATCTCAGTTCTATGGACCCATCCCTAATATTTCTACAATCTTACGCGAACGCAGAATACGCTTTGCAGGACACTGCTGGCGAAGAACAAGAACTCGCGAGTGATAAGCTGCTCTGGACACTGCTAGCCATGGCGGAAAATGGGTTGATCGCCCAGCAAACACCTACGTTAACCAACTATGTAACGAAACAAGATGCCACCTTAATGACCTTCCGACCTTGACGCAGGACCGTGATGGTTAGCGTGATAGACTCATGAATGTCCGAGCTATAGCTTGACCGAATAATAATACCTAAAATAATAATAATAAGAGATATCTCTCAATATTGTCAGCGGAACGAGAACAATCTTCGTTTCATAGAATAAATAAAGGGAAGATCCGGACGGTTACTTGATCGGAAAACATTTGAAGAAGGCTGCAAGACAAAATGGTCGAAATGTTGTAATGAACGACGATGCGGACAGTAGTCCGAATGAAAATAATGCAAATAATAATAAATCATAATTACAGAAATTCAGCTAAGAGCCGAGTTCCAATTCCAGCTGGGTTCGTTATATTCACTTACGAGCAACTACTCTTGAGAAAGGTATGAATCCATCTCTTCTCTCCCCAGGTATGGGTTAATTAGTACGACTTGTGCCAGTAAATCAGTATTATCTCCAAAAAAAAAGTCTTATAATCTAAAATATATTTTCTGTCTTTAAATAACCTGCAAAAGTTTGATAACTCGTAAAAACAAATCAGTGCAGTGAGACTAATCTACCTTTGTAGATTAAATTATGATTTCAGTTCGAAATTATCTGAAAGTTATACAGATTGACAAACACCTGAAGAAGAACGGAGGACACAAAGGAAGAAACAATATAATAATAACAACAAAGATGAGCATCAGTCTGAATGTAAATCATGTAGATAACGGTAACTCCTCATCTCAGAAGTAATACGATAAACTACATCCGGCAGCGTGACCTCTGATTGGGAGATTGGAGGTTTTGAGGATCGCGCAAGCATCTTTTAAATGACACATTCTTGTAATTGTTTTACACTCTTGTAGTTCTATTATTATTATTATTATTATCATTATTATTATTATTATTATTATTATTATTTCTTTTTATTTCTGTTTTCACTTTTCTTCTTGCCCTTCTGGTTCTTCTTGTTTTTCTTATTACCTTTCTCCCCTATTTCTTTCTTTTTTCTTTCTTTTTTTCTTTCTTTTATCTTTCTTTTTTCTTTCTTTTTTCTTTCTTTTTTTCTTTCTTTTTTCTTTCTTTTTTCTTTTTTTTTCTTTTTCTTTTTTTTTCTTTTCTTTTTTTTTCTTTTTTTTTTTTTTTCTTTTTTTTCTTTCTTTTTTCTTTCTTTTTTCTTTCTTTTTCTTTTTTTTTCTTTCTTTTTTCTTTTTTTTTTTTTCTTTTTTTTTTTTTCTTTTTTTTTCTTTCTTTTTTTTTCTTTTTTTTTTCTTTTTCTTTATTTTTTCTTTCTTTTTCTTCATTTCTGCATCTTGTTTCTTCTTAATTTCGCTTCTATTTTTCTTTCTTCTACAGTTCATTTAATTTTTGGCTTTTTTTATTATAGATTTTTTTCTATCTTATTCTGTTTTTTCCTTTCTTCTTCTTCTTCTTCTTCTTTGTCATTTCCATCCTTTTTCACTTGAGTCTTTCTTTATTCTTTATATTATCATTATTATTATCATTTTCACTTTTGCTTCTTTCTTTCTTTCTTTCTCTCTATTTCTTTCTTTCTTACTATTTTCTCTATTATCTTCTCCTTCTTTATATTGTCATTTTCGAACCCTTTTCACGTTCTTCTTCTTTTTACCATTATTATTATTATTATTATTATTAATATTATTCCCTACTTGTTCTTATTTCATTGGCCGTCTTATTTCTTTTCTGTTTTTTTTCCCCTCCTTTTTGTTCCAGCTTGCACGCACGCACGCACGACGTCTCATCAGTAAAGGAAGTCCTAATGCAAAGATGGCGTCGAGTGGAAAAGATGGGCGGAGGAGAAGCGTGGATGCTTGCTTAAACATCAGGAGGCAATCGTCGCGCGTTTGCGAACAGTTGTCATGGCGACGCTGATGGACAGGCAGGCAAAATAACTTCTTCACTGCTTGTTTGTGTCCCGATACATGCATCGCCATGGATACGACAGCAGCAGGAGCAGCAAAGGCGGGAAAAACAGTGGCGCCAAGAGGCAATGGTACAAGATGGCGTCAGTATTGAACCGTTTGTACATGTGGTGGTTGTGCATTGTTGTAGAGACATTGTGCATGTGCTGGAAGAGTGAGTCGGGGTGGGGGAAAAGCAAGGGGGAAAAAGGTCAGTGGGGTGGAGATGAGCCATAGCAGACCAGTTGTCTGACTCCACTATAGTTTATCGCTATTTAAGAATAACGGTAACTATTTTGTTTTATTTTTGCCTACTATCAATATTTTTTCTTATTGTCAAGACATAAAAACAACAACTGTAATGTCATAGTTACAATTATTTTTATAGCGAGATTGAATTAATACACAACTATTAACTGAGGTTAAAGTGGCAGCAAGTCTTTTCAGGACTTTAGCCCCTCTTTGGTATTTTTATTTAATTTTATTCCCCGAATATAAGATTCGATCGTCCTGGGTATGACGATAAACTACA